TTCCCTCGTCTTCCTTTTTTGTCTTTCGCCTTTTGCTCTCATTTTGTGTTTCATGTGTCCTCGCTAAGTGTGCATGCATACAGTGTGGGGGATGGATGGAGAGATGTAGGGAGGAAGGCCTCTCCCAGGTTTCTTTGTAGTGCTTTTCATATCACTCATCACATGGCCTGATGCAACGTCTGTCACCAATAGGTTTCAAACCAATTGATGACAGAGTTTCATGCAAATATAAAATAATCTGCATAGAACATTTTGCACATTTTCCCACCAGAGATGTTTTTCCATCAAATGGAATTATTGCGGATAAAAGGCTGTGCGTGATGACTTAGTGCAAATAAAAAAACTTTTAATAACAAATTATAAGAAAAAAATTGTTTAGTCATTTAGCAGATGCTCTTATCCAGAGTGACTTACATAATTTTTTTATCCAGAGTGAGTGCATATTTTTTTTTTTCTTCTTCATACTGGTTCCCCGTCGGAAACGAATCCACAACCCTGGCGTTGCAAACGCCATGCTCTACCAACAGAGCTACACGGGACTTAAATGGTTTTCCATAACATTTTCAACTCTACCGATGGTTTTATCACAAAAACTGTTGCGTTATATAGCAAATGTATCCACTCTGGTCTTGGCATGTGCGCTCTAGCCAACAGCTCGCTCATATAGTGTGGGTAGGGTAGCCTAAATGAAGAGATTATTATGGATAAGAGCGAGATTATTTTGATTTGTCAAATGGCAGCCAAGCATCGATCACCATGTCACCAGAATAAGAACCTCAATATTTATTGGAAAGGAGCATCAAGCTAATTAGCATTGGGCCAGTAACCAAAAGAGTGCTAGTTTGAATCCCCGAGCTGACTGTGACAAATGTGTCGTTCTGCCCTTGAGCAAGGTACTTAACCCTAATTGCTCCAGAGTCGCCAACAATAATGGCTGATCCCTGACTGTGACCCCACTCACTAACTTATTTAATCTGTTGCCTAATAAACTGCATGCTTTCCCGAGTCCTAGTGGGAGGACCACACAACATAGCCTATCATCGCGTGAATCCAAATTTACTTTGATATTTGTATTTATTTTTTATTTAACCTTTATTTAACTAGGCAAGTCAGTTAAGAACCAATTCTTATTTACAATGATGGCCTACACCGGCCAAACCCGGATGACGCTGGGCCAATTGTGCGCTGCCCTATGGGATTCCCATTCACGGCCGGTTGTGATACAGCCTGGAATCGAACCGGGGGTCTGTAGTGACGCCTCAAGCACTGAGATGCAGTGCCTTAGACCGCTGCGCCACTCGGGAGCCCATATGATGGCTATTATATCAATATTTGTGCATAAAGGTGCCATTTCTCGCATAATTAATTTTACAGACTCAAAAAGATTCCACCATGTCGAACGAACAAATTGCATGCCGACGTTTATAAAATTGTACCGACATTTCCTGTTTCCATCAGCCCGGTCATGTTTTTTTTTTTTTTTATGTGTCAGGTAATTAATTAGCATGAAATGGATGGAAACCTGGTTAATGAGGCTATTATTGTATCTTGCCAGCAAGTTGTTTTAAATAGCTGGTGTTTGTAGGCTAGTAATTCTTAAATTAACCATAACGTTGAGGGTGTACTTCAGTGTTGTAAGATGTTGGGTTGATCGCAAACTAGACTTGAGGCTGCACTTGTCAGGTCATCCCTCCCTCTCGTCCGTCTAGGCACAGTCTTTAGATGGTGAGGTGCGAATAATGCTTGTTTCATCAGGCTTCTGTCAGCTGACACTTGACACTGACATCAACCTCTGATGCATTTAATCCCACTGACTGTGCTGAAGATTAGTTTACACCTTTACAATCATACCTTCCTCCCCTCACCAACTTCTCCCCGTCTTGCAAACTCAGTGTGCTGTATCATTGTCAGTAGTTTGCTTATGCAGGAAATAAACATTTGCAAATCAAACTAAAAAAAGGTTTGGCTGGCAGTACCGGGTTGACAAATAAGTAAAAATAGCAACATTACAAAAATAGGAGCAGCTTTTAGTAGCATTTCATAGTGAATCTTTTTATTATTTATTTATTTATTGGAAAGCCAAGTTGTCCTTTTTAATAATGTAAATTGTGTTGGATGGGACACTAGTCACGCACAGGTAAATCCCTAAATGTTTGAGAGAAGTCCTTAACCTCACCACCCTGTTCTAATGTTGTTTTTCTGAAGATAAAATCTCTCAGTTAAATGTAGCTTCAATTGAGGGACTCCTGCTGAACTATTGATAGTTTTCGTTTATTTTTGAGTGCAATTTGTTGAACTTCATGCAGAGCCAGAGGATGCCATGTTCAACCCCTTTCCCATCAGTCGGGTTATTTTGGGCAGGACGGGGGGAGTCACAAGGGATGTTGAGGTTTCTGGTTTCCTGTCTCCTGGGGTCACATGACCAGAAAGCGGAGACGGTGTGGTTCTTTTGGTCGACCCAGTCCTAAGGGTCCCTCTCACGAGGCGAACACGCCATCTCATTCATGGAGAGGATACTGAGTAAGAATAGCAACCGCAGTTGTGTGATGAGTGCCAGCAAAAGAAAGGCCCCCTTCATAAAGCAGCTTTTTATCTAGAGAGCCCTTCAAGCGCAGCCTCCTGTCATTGAAGTTCAAAAGACTACTGTATTATAGACAACTCATGTTCACTAATCATTTTGAACAGCTTACTGCGATGGTAGACTATCTACAGTCGTGGTCAAATGTTTTGAGAATGACACACATTAATTTTCACAAAGTCTGTTGCCTCAGTTTTTATGATGGCAATTTGCATATACTCCAGAATGTTACGAAGAGTGATCAGATGAATTGCAATTAATTGCAAAGTCCCTCTTTGCCATGAAAATGAACTTAATCCCAAAAAAAAACATTTTCACTGCATTTCAGCCCTGCCACAAAAGGACCAGCTGACATCATGTCAGTGATTCTCTCGTTAACACAGGTGAGTGTTGACGAGGACAAGGCTGGAGATCACTCTGTCATGCTGATTGAGTTAGAATAACAGACTGGAAGCTTTAAAAGGAGGGTGGTGCTTGAAATCATTGTTCTTCCTCTGTTAACCATGGTTACCTGCAAGGAAACACGTGCCGTCATCATTGCTTTGCACAAAAAGGGCTTCACAGGCAAGGATATTGCTGCTAGTAAGATTGCACCTAAATCAACCATTTATCGGATCATCAAGAACTTCAAGGAGAGAGGTTCAATTGTTGTGAAGAAGGCTTCAGGGCACCCAAGAAAGTCCAGCAAGCGCCAGGACCGTCTCCTAAAGTTGATTCAGCTGCGGGATCGGGGCACCACCAGTGCAGAGCTTGCTCAGGAATGGCAGCAGGCAGGTGTGAATGACTTTTGGAGGATGGCCTGGTTTCAAGAAGGGCAGCGAGGAAGCCACTTCTCTCCAGGAAAAACATCAGGGACAGACTGTTATTCTGCAAAATGTACAGGGATTGGACTGCTGAGGACTGGGGTAAAGTCATTTTCTCTGATGAATCCCCTTTCCGATTGCTTGGGGCATCCGGAAAAAAGCTTGTCCGGAGAAGACAAGGTGAGTCCTGTGTCATGCCAACAGTAAAGCATCCTGAGACCATTCATGTGTGGGGTTGCTTTTCAGCCAAGGGAGTGGGCTCACTCACAATTTTGCCTAAGAACACAGCCATGAATAAAGAATGGGACCAACACATCCTCCGAGAGCAACTTCTCCCAACCATCCAAGAACAGTTTGGTGACGAACAATACCTTTTCCAGCATGATGGAGCACCTTGCCATAAGGCAAAAGTGATAACTAAGTGGCTCGTGGAACAAACATTGACATTTTGGGTCCATAGCCAGGAAACTCCCCAGACCTTAATCCCATTGAGAACTTGTGGTCGATCCTCAAGAGGCGGGTGAACAAACAAAAACCCACAAATTCTGACAAAGAATGGGCTGCCATCAGTCAGGATGTGGCCCAGAAGTTAATTGACAGCATGCCAGGTCGGATTGCAGAGGTCTTGAAAAAGAAGGGTCAACACTGCAAATATTGACTCTTTGCATAAACTTAATGTAATTGTCAATAAAAGCCTTTAACACTTATGGAATGCTTGTAATTATACTTCAGTATACCATAGTAACATCTGACAAAAATATCTAAAAACACTGAAGCAGCGAACCTTAGTGAAGATCAATACTTCTCAAAACTTTTGACCACGACTGTAGACAGAATTATTTCATCTTCAAAAATGTTTTTACAATGTGGCATTCTTAGCAAGCATGTGTTTTCACAGGAATTAACCTTAGCCTGAATGTGGCCTTCTGTCTGTGTGAGCAGAATGTGAACTACATACAGTGTGAAAGTGAGAGAGAATAAGGGAAGCTGCATTGACCTCAGTCCTTTGAGAAAGGGGATGTGGGTGAGAATGTGATCTTGAGTGGACTCGGGCGCTAAATTGCATTTGTGATTGTGTACCCTGTGCGTGTCGTGCATGTGTGTGCTTGCGCGTGTGGGTGGACTTAAGCTTGTGTGTGCACTTTTCCTTATGTGCTTTGCATACACATTCGTCAACCCAGTGCAATGCAGGATTAGTCATCGAGACAATTATCCCAAACCACAGGTTGACTCACATGTTTGTCAGTGCAGCTTTTTTATTTCCTCTTTCTTTCTAAATGTACTGGAAAGGAGGATACTGTATGAAAGTCTACCATTAAACCCTGCATGGCTCCCCTCCCCCCACACACACTGTTTATCTACGATGACTCAGGCAAACATCTGATAGGCCTATGATGTTTCCACAGAAACCAATATGGTACCTAGCAACGGTGCTTGAGCGCCACACTGTCTGGAGTTTACGCTGTCTCTACATATCACTGTCCTTCTGGTTTGGAGTTGGCCCTTCAACTGGTGGTCGTGATGATCGTATAGTCTTGTTTCTCTTTGAAACTTCCTCTGGTTTCTTTTAAGATGATGCTAAGGAGTCAATGCTATGTTCAGTTTACTGTGATAGTAAAATGAAGCAGTGAGTGAACTACGCCTCCCTGAAAAACCACTTTAACGTCAGCCTGCATCTATTTCGTTGTTTCATGAAGCATTGTGTGTCTCACAGGCCTACCTTCTGTTTTGTGTCTACTGAATATGACCCTGGTGTGTTGGTGTCTCTCTGTGTACCCTAGGATTCACCGGATCTCCATCACCAACTTCTGCCTGGGCAAGCACCTGGTGAGTGAGGACGACCTGCTGAAGGACCAGCGAGGAAGTCCAGCCTACATCAGCCCTGACGTACTGAGTGGTGAGATGACTCAGATATATATATATATATATACACACACACACACACACACACACACACACACACACACACACACACACACACACACACACGGCATGAGAGGGGAAAGGAGAGGGAAGTTCTCTATCAGTCTGTCACAAATGCTACTGACTGATGCCAAACACAATCACATAACAGTTAAATTGAAACTTCCATATCTCCATGCTTACTTTATGTAACAAGTGGATTCAAATCATGTAGGCCTATTGATTTCCAAGGGTAATTCACATGTTATTTGTGAAATGTATTGGTGGTGGTTTGACTAAGCTCCTGTTATCGTTTACTGTTCTGTTGAAAGGAAGGGTCAGCCTAGTTAATATGGGTCGACCTGCGAGTCAGTCAGGAGGCTTGCGTAATGTTTGTTTTCCGGTTATTAGGCAACACAGATAACCAATGTTCCAAGTTTGCAAAATAGGCTAAGGCTGAAAATATCTCAAGGCATTTTTTTCATTTATTGACTTGATCATCAGAGTTGCATGATGTTCTCTCGTGCTAAGCTATGTGTTAGGGTATGTGGTGTTGATTTTGTTTGGTTTTATTGCAAACACGTTACTGCGCTACATTTTTCTAGTATTTTAATTGCTTGCTGCAAGAGACTGTACACTATTCCATCACTCAGTAGTTTGTGCATACACTGAGGTTCTAACCATTTGAAAAGTAATTCTCAGTTCTTCAGTCTAGACACGATTGGCAGGAAATGTGTGAAAAGAGCAGATTGGGCTGGTGTTTGCTTGCCTCTTCCCCTCTCTCCATTAAAACAGATAGAACCCAGGCATATATGAGCGGAACATGACAAGTTGAAAACAGAACAATGAAATGGAGCTCCAGTGAGTCACACTGATGACTCACCGAGAGGGAAACTACTCCCAACCCCTCCCCCCTGTGTGCGTGTGTCAAAAGCATTACCATAATTGCACCATGGGTGAAGGGAGGGAAGCAACTGCTGCCACCTCTTTATAACAACACTTGCCTCTGGTCCTAAAGCAGAACACCATGCTCATTGCTCCACCATTACAATCACTGGCTTCTGACTCATCATGCCTTTACTGTTTGATAGGTTTAAGCATAAAGAGGTATGTTATTGCCAAATGTAATTGTGGTTGGAAATTTCTTGGAAAGATGAGTCTAGATCTGCAGTTGGATAGTGTAGAGTCACATGGTCTTCTGTTTGTGTCCAATTGGTTAATCTTTCATTCTGTGGTTGATAATTAGATATTCTGTATGGTTCTAGAGGCGAAGGGCAGTGGGTTGAGGATTAACGACAATGTCATTTGTAGTTGAATTAATATTCGAGAGTGTCATTGTACTGGTGCATGTACGTACATGATAAATACTGTTACATGATATGTAAGCCTATATGCAATATGTTTTTAAAGAAGATGAGTCATTTCTCAGTCGCAAAATGTTAACCAGGTTTCCATCCAAACATGTAGGATAATAAATGTCATTATGGAAATGGTAAACATTCCAAATGTCGAAAAAACAAAAAATACGCTGGAGCTGATCTCTTTTTCTTTTTTTTTTTCTTTTTTTCTGTAAAATTAATTACGCACGAAATGCCGGTGGAAATTATTTTTATGCTGAAATTGATATAATAACATCATATCGAAGTAAACTTGGAGTCACGCGATGACATGTTGTGTGGTCCTCCCACTACGACTTGTCGAGAAAGCATGCAGTTTATTAGGCTACAGATTAAATAAATTATGATGAGCTTCACAAGATGGTGAAAGTGCACGGTGATGAGCTTGATGCTCCTTTCCAATAAATATCGAGGGTCTTATTCTGGTGACATGAAAGTTGATGCTTGGCTGCCGTTTGACAAATAAAAATTATTCTGCTTTTTTGTCCGTAACAATAATCTCATGTAGCTTAATTGCTCATGGAAGTCGCTCTGTATAAGAGCGTCTGCTAAATGAACAAAAATGTAAATGTAAAATGTAGGCTATACGTGCTCTCTAGCCAACAACGTGCAGATAGGACTGTTGGCTAGAGTGCACGTGCCAGTATCTTTCTATCGGTACATGGGAATTTAACCACAAAGTATTTTTATGTGCACTACGTCATCAGTACATTTGTACATTTGATGGAAACATCTCTTTTGGGGAAAATGCACATTGTTTTTTATGTAGAATTATTAAAGATTCGCATGAAAATCTGTCGCAAATTGGATAGAAACCTAGCTAGTGAAACATTGAAATTAATCTATTAATGTCTCCTTTTGAAGGTCGGCCGTACCACGGTAAGCCCAGTGACATGTGGGCCCTTGGCGTGGTGCTGTTCACCATGCTCTATGGCCAGTTCCCCTTCTACGACAGCATACCTCAGGAGCTATTCCGCAAGATCAAGGCTGCAGAGTACTCCATCCCAGAGTAGGTCAACATACAACACGCCACACAGTACCACACATCCCATACAAAACCACAAGCATTATTACACCATGCACCCCATACAGAGTGCGTGCTACATGTCATACAACACCTTCCATCCCACACAACACCTTCCATCATACAGCGGCAAATAGGCATTTTTCAAGGCCATTTTTATACTGCGTTGGTGTAAATTGGAAGAAGCTACAATGATGCATATCACGACAGTTGGGCTACTCAAGGACTTTGTGCCAGTCTGCCAATATCAATTCAGTTCTGAGCCACACACTATTATAACTAATAGTAATATGCCATTTAGCAGATGCTTTTATCCAAAGTGACTTAGTCATGCATGCATACATTTTACGTACAGGTGGTCCTTGGAATCGAACCCACTATCCTGGCATTGCAAACGCTATGCTATACCAGCTGATCTACAGAACACCATGCTCTTATTGGTTCCTCCAATGTATTATTCAACAGTTTCTCCTTCTGGTGCTGAAGGCCATAAATATAACCCTTTCTCCTTCTTCCCTTTCCTCCCTCTCTCCCCTCAGGGACGGGCGTGTGTCGGAGAACACTGTGTGTCTTATACGGAAGTTGCTGGTGCTGGACCCCCAGCAGAGGCTGACCGCCGCAGAGGTCCTGGAGTCTCTCAGCGGCATTATCGCCTCATGGTGAGTCATGCCCCCTGGTGGACAGGGAGAGAACTGGAAATATTGGCAGTAGCGATTTTGTGGTTGGAAAAGTGCATAACAATACAATAAGGTGTGAGAATATCATCTTTAATGCCATCAAGATGTTTAATTTAAACGCTGCACAATAGAATCATCAGTCAGTCCATGCTGTGTCGATAAACTGTATCCTGTGTGTGTGCTTTGCAGGCAGTCAGTATCATCTTTGACCGGTCCTCTTCAGGTTGTACCGGACATCGATGACCAGGTCAGCCACCCAGAGCATCTCCAGGAGGTGAGATCCCTGTGGTCAACAACCCATTGATCCTCCCTCAGCCTTTAGCGTTAGCACATGGCTAATCATCAGACAGAACTTCAGCTCACCCAAAGCCTGCCGGGGAACAGAGCCAATTGCTCCTCCCTTACTGACTGGTGCCTTGTTCTCACTGCGCCACAATGAGGCTAGCACTTTCATTACATTGCAGTTGAATCCAATGTTCTTTATAAATCTAAAGGTGTTGTAAGAAATACAAAAGTGTGTACAAGTATGGCTTGACAAACATTCTCAGTCATAAAGCTGTAGATTGACATCAGCTCTGTTTTGACAAGGATGCTGAAGAGATCATTAACCAGACTCTAACTTGTGCAACAGTATCCCTATGTGTAACAGCAGGGCTGTGTTCAGTAGGCACCAAACAGAAGAAAACTAACAAACTGGGAAGGGACTACCTTTTGCTCATTTTGTGCCCTAATGCAGGGGTTTTCAAACCTCTCCTCAGTGACCCCCAGCCTTCCATGTATTTGAGCAATACCAGATCTAGTACACCTGATTTTAAACTAATCAATAACAAATGTGTAAATATAACAACATTGTAAAATGTCTGGGGGTCACTGAGAAGAGGTTTGAAAACCACTGCCCTGATGAACACGACCCAGTGTGTAACTAACATAATCTGTCTCTATCCCAGGTGAAGGTGACGGAGGAGTCGTCGCAGTACGAGTTTGAGAACTACATGCGTCAGCAGCTGCTGCTGGCCGAGGAGAAGAACACTATTCATGAGGCCAAGGCCAGCTTCCTCGCCAAGCGCCAGTTTGGCGCCATCCCGCCTGTGCGGCGCCTGGGCCACGATGCCACGCCCGTCAGCCCTCTGGACGCCGCCATCCTGGCCCAGCGCTTCCTCCGGAAGTAGCCCCTTCACCCCTCGTCTTGCCCTCTGGGGGACACGTGGGGTGAGGAACACATAAGGGTTGGGTCGGGAAGGGAACCTAAAACTGAGAATGTCGATGGGAGCTTAGCCCCAGCCCGACCCTCCCTTGGGTAGAGGGGCCCCTAGATGTGGTGAGTTAGGTAGGTGGAGTGGGAACAGACATGGGGGAGCACCAGAACTGATCACTCACCTGACAACCTCTCATAGTTTTCACACTTCAAGTCTGGGTGTCGGCGGTGTGCACAGGAATGGGATGGCTGGAGAATCTGAAGATCTGAACCAAAGGCTTCCACCGAACCCCACTGATCTTAAACACACGCTGCTCTCAGCCAGCCAGCTATGGGCACATATGGACTCATATAGGCCAGGGGGATTCCAGACACGCGTGTGTGTTTTCCCTCTGCTGAGACCTGGCCATCACCCTCCAACTACCCCCATTTATTTTGGAAAACCCTGAGCAATACAGGGCTAGAAGAACCATGTAGCAACCTTCCTCTAACCTCCCTCCCTCAACTCTCCAAACTGAGATCACCTGATCATGGACGTCACTCACGCGCCCGCCCACTCACTCTTTAGTTTCCTCATAACCAAAATGATCTGGACTTGTCCTGTCTGTCTCTAAACTACGACTTCAAATCTACCTCTCTCAATCTCTTTCTAACCATGTGTGCATTTTACGCCATGTCCACCATTCTCGAAAAACAAGGAATTGTAGAGGTAGTGTTGTCACCATAGACAGAAAGCATTACTATGTTTTGGTGCATAAAGGTTAGGAATGTGGAATATGAATAAGCTTTTTTACTTATGAGTAATACGTAGCATTTTACCCTTCTATCCATTCTACATTGAAGATGCTAACTATCAAAGGGTGGCCAAATCGCCAACTTCTATCTTTAAGTCTAGCAGATTGCATTGTTTTCTTGCTTTCGCTCACCCCCTATGGAACCATTGTTTTGCATTTAGGCATCTAGTGTCAAGTACCTGGAAGTTGTGATGCCAAGAGCTGGATGGGGGGGGGGGTTTATTAGACATTTATTAGATGTTTAATGTTGATCCTCTCTCGTTATTGCTGTTCTAAATGGCATCTTTGATTAATAATCGAGACGTGGACACATTTCTTTGGGTGAAAAATCATGGAGCGTCTTAACTGATTGTTAGCCAAGGAAATTATACCTCCCCCTCGTTCACCACTGAACAACTTCCAGGTATTCAACTTCCCACTTACCCTGTGTGACATCATCATTGTGGGACAAGTATTGGGCATGAATGTGAATCAATGGTAATGCCAGTGATTGTCAGTGTGTAGATAAGTGTGATTCCAGCCAGGGGTGTATTAGACAAAGCCAGGGCCTTTTCAGTGGTAGGTGCAGACTAGAGCCACATTATTTAAGCCCAGTGAGTCAGTGCAGACCCTTAAGCTAGCCATCCTCCCAATCTCTTTATCTTGCCTGCCTCAGTTGCTTGCACACACCGAGAACATACAGGCTTTTCTAAGACTGGCTAGAGTGAATGTGTCCGCTATGAAAGATGAGCATCCCACATGTTGCCCGTCTTAGTCGTGAATGCTCTAGTGCGTAGCAATGTCTTAAGTTTAAAATCAGACAAAACCGTAATGATCATAGTACTCGAGCCCCTTTAGCTGTTGTAAGTTATATTGTAGTAGCTCATCATGAAAGACTTAACTATGATGATGATCGTGATAATTGAATAGATAGTGTCATATTTCATAGAGAAACTCTCAACAATGAGGTTGCGTCTCCGTCAAGCCTCCCTCTGCTGGCGGCGCCATAGTGGTGCCAAACGTCGTGATAAATCCAATCATTCTGGACGGAGGCTAACGGCTGTTTCGTCTAAGTTGCACTAGTGTCCTGGAAATACGATGACATTGCTAAAGTAGGTAGATATTGGTAGGAAACAACTTTGCCATTATCATGTCGTCATCATTGCTTAGACCTCCACCTTTTTTATATCTAAATTGATCACATGAGTAGAAACTCGAGTCAGTTTCCTATTTCGTTGTATTTTTCCTCCTTAATTTCATGTATGTTGATTTATTTATTCACTGTCCATTTTCAGGCATCAAATCTCTTAGTCATTTTTGCTTTAAGCAAGAAGTGTTCTGGTTCCATTTGTTTCTCCGGACATTGAAACTTGAGCCGCCATTGCAGTTTTTTCTCTCTATCAGCTATCTTCATTAAAGAAGATCTCTTTATTATATTTTTTTGCAGTTGCCACACACTCGTGGTCGATTAAGCTACACTAATAATGAAACGGACTGCATAGTTCTATTTTTTACGCAGAAAATAATCGCACATTATAAATAATGATTTATGGTAGTGATGTACTGTTTATTAGCCTGGTCCCAGATCTGTTTGTGCGGTCTTGCCAACGCCTATTGCCTTGACAATGACCAGCACAAACAGATCTGGGACCAGGCCAACTGTTTATCGCCCCATACCAGACTTATGGTCAGTATGTAAATATAATACCAACATGACAGCGACAACACCAGTAGAGCTACCATCTACATCTAGTGGAATGATACCAGCTCTGATCAGGGGTACATTCAATGAGGTGAAATGTTCCAAATGTTGCAGCTAGATATGTGTTGAATAGAACTGACATGATTCCAAATTCAACATGACAGAAAATCATATCTTGATTTCTATCTGAACGTTTTGTAACATTGCACACTCCTGAACAGCCCTGCTTTAAAACAAATGATATATAGACATGCAGGCGATGCTAGCCACCACATTTTGAGAAAAAATTATAATTAAATGAGATTTTGAGAAATGTTCGCTTTTTCCCCACCTCAATGTGAATTTCTGGGTATAAAAGCAGTATTGTAGTTGATAGTGTGTCAGTAGTTCATGAGAAAAAGGTATTTTGTGAACACCACAGCCCTTGCTGAAGTTGAAGGCAAATTTGTAATCCCATTTTACTTGAGGGTGACCATAACCCACTATTGGATATAAATATGTAGGTTTATTAGAAAAGACCCTTGATAGTAATGTATTATCTGTAGCATTATCAAGATAGTGTTCACATTTAGCTGTTGGAATTGTCCCATTTGATGTCTAAGAAAGTTGTCCCCTTCATAGATGGTCTGTGGACTGAAAGCACCATACGAAGCATGATGTTGAGCTCTTTGTAAAATGTGATTTTGCATGATTTTTTTACTTGCAAGGTGGTCCCACAATATAGTTCCTTGAAATCAACCAACCAGGAAGAATTGGGAATTTGAGTCTTACAGAAAAACCTAATGTTTTTCATAATACAACCGATTTTTTCATTTAATGAATACTCAACATTATTTTTCATTTTTACCATAATTCTAAAATTGGGGAAATGTCTGTCAGTTTAAGGATGTATTTGATTTGCTGAATATTTCAACTGGAAAATAGATTATGGTGTATGAAGTGGTGGTAAAAATAGTTGAAACCAGCCAGATTTGTGTTGTAAGCTGCTTGGTTGGATATGGGCATCTAATACAAAAACCTGGCTAATTGTACAGAGATTTAGAAAAGTTTGTATAAAAGACATATTTTTGTACTTCATCAAATCTCTACATGCATGTCAGCAATAAACTTTGATATGGAAAAATACGCTATTCCTAACATTTATTTAATGTGAAACTTTAAATGTTGACGCAACTTCCCATCATTGCCAGTAGGTGGAGTACTTTCTCAAAGAATAGAAATGCATTTGCTCCGACTATGTAGAACCAAGAACACCAGATATTGTGTAGTAATGATAATGACCCTAAGTGTTGAATCCTAAATCATCAATGAAACACTCACTATGTATTCAGTTCACCAATTTGAAAGGAATGGTTATCTTCCTATAGTTTTTAGTCTCTTGGGTCTGTCTCATGCCATTACAGAATGTGTATAGACTCCCTGCAGAGAGTGGCGTGTGTATGTTGAATACTAGATTGAAACAGTGCGTCTCTTTTCTCTCTGAGGGAGTTTTGGACCATGGGCCAAGGTAGATCTGCTCCAACAGGAAGGCACCTGCTGGTTCCCCCTGCACCACGGGCATGTGCCCCTACTCGACTGCCTCACCTCAGCCCTTTAAAAACACACCCTCCTAGTGGGGGATTCATTTCTTTACACTTCTTTGCATTTGCTATCACACAGAAGCTCCTGATCGGTCCTGTAACATGGATTCCTGTGAGATCATTTTGAGTTATGGATGATGTGCCTTTTTTTTTTTTTGTTACCTTATTCATACAGTGGTGGCTAAGCTGGAAGAGATTGGTCTCTCATGGAACAGGGCACAAGCTGTGGCCAGTGACAAATTATTGTTACTGCCTTATGTCCCACCGAGATGAAGAGGACTCTAAAGTAAATTATTAAAACAGTGTGATTGGATAGTTGTTTAGTGTGTTTTTCAGTACCTGTCTGTACAAGAACTCCGCTGTGATGCTTTGCTTTCAACTCGCTCTGATGACATTACAGAGATTCGAAACCAGAGGTCACCTAAAATCCTGCCAAACAGCGCATCGCTGAGTGACCTAGCTGTCTCTCAGCAACGGCACAAATGTGTGGATGACGAGGGGTTTGACACGCTACAGAGCCTTGCCCATCCTTCAGAGACCCCTACAAATATAGTATGTCATGGTTGGCTGTGCCTTGGCCACTGGAGGCCTGGCTCGCTTGGCTGTACCCCACCCCTCCTCCCCCAGCTAAGGACGAAGACTGGTGGTCTCCACGGGGGTCGGCTCAATAGCTCCGAGCCTCCAACCGTATTAATATAATTACTAGAATGGTCATCCCCATTCAAGCTGACATTCTGAGGGTGCAGCCGAATGTATGTTGTATGAAGATCTTTTTTACCCTCCATTCTAGTAATGATATTTCTATGGCTGCAAAGTGTGTCATAAGCCTAGAAACAGCTGGAGGTTAAGAGGGTCCATCTAGAATTCCTGTGTGTCTCAAGATGGGATGCTTCGTTAAAGGCAACCCCATGGGCTGTGA